CTGAGACCGGTGTCTGGTCCCCGTTATATGTCGACCGTAGCAGAGGAGGACGTCCACTGGGTGTTCCACAGGATTGTGCGTAGAACGATGACTTGCAAATCAAGGAGTTTATCATGATAGCAGCCCTACGCTACATCTTCGACACCCTCACTCCCTCTCTGGCCTGTCAGGCAGCTGGTAACAATGCAAGCAACGGGTTTTGACCTGTCTTGATAGAATCAAGTTCGCTAGATGTGTTGTGGTAAAGAATGTGTTGAGGCGCCGTGGGGATGGATTCCCTCGTGCCGGTCTCACTCGTCTCTCTCCCCTGAACCAGTCTACTGCCCGAGCCTTTCAACCAACTGGTGATGAGCTCAGCCACAGAAGCTGTCAGAGCTAGACAGCGTATGCCACACGCGTGTGTCACACAGGACCTGGTCACAACTTCATGTACCACGCTACGTTAAGAACATGTTTCCACCTTAGGTGAAGTGTGCATATTCTGAAAGTTGACATTTTATCCGTCATACTGGCGGGGGAGGAGCTGGTCATATGCCTTCTTTCGGGAACAGTTGGTGTGAAACCGGGGATTTTGCTCGGTGCAGAGCAGATTAATGTGCAGTTCAGGGATGTGTGGATGTGTTGACCGAGATGTGATTATGCATTTCGGGCTGTGGTATTTTAACGCAAATTTCACCTCACTTATATCCTGAGAATGCTGAGTATACGCCTTCAAGAAAATATCTCAGACATGGAAGTTCTGGATCAAATTGAAAGCTTAAGTGTCCATGCCTTGCTCTGGTAAATGTGCGACTACGTAAAAGTTGGATGAGCAGCACTCACTCAAACGACTTATTCCACGGCAACGTCTCACGGATGTATTTGGACAAGAAGGAGAAAAATACTTTACAAAGACACCCTCAAGATCTACCTCAAGCATCTCCAAATCAACCAGGCGAAGAGATCCATCGTAGGGCCGCCCAATAGCAAGTCTTTCCGCTGATGTGTCTTACGGAATTCTTATTTAAAGGTTTACTGCCCGATTCATGTGTAGTTACTGCGCGTTTAATGCATGATAACTGCAGAGTAGACTTATTTTATGTATTTAGGGTGTCTTTGGGGACATTTTTCATGTAAAATTGAGATTATTCGTGTGATTTAATCATTCAGCATAACACGGAATCCATTTTAAGATGTTTGGGAAAAATTTACCTCAAACCTGTGAAACAAATAACATTAGTGCAGGAAGTAAAGTCTGTGACTGGGCGGCGACTGTTCTGGTGATGGTCACATGAATAGTATAAGGCATCGTTCCATTGAAGAGTTTATCAAGGATGAAGACCAATTAGCCACACATAAATTTAAAATCAGTAGTTAGTTGACACATCTATGACAAGCGGCCTAATATCAACACCAACCACAGATTTAATGATATTGCCTTCGAAGGCACAGATATGGAAGCAGATAGCTTACAACGTCGTGTAGCCTGACTAATACACTATCAGTATTTGAAGACAATCGAGGGAATTGGAACTGAGATATATCATTTTAAGTCAAATTATTTAGATTGTAGATAAAATGCATGTGTTAAAGAATGTTTATTTTAGTCAGTAAACTATAAGTCTGTTCTGGATTTAGAATAAGCCCCTTTAAAATAAACATATACCGTCGTCAAAATTCAAAAGTGATGCCCCAGTCTTGACTAATATGTGAGTTTATAATGACATCAGCTGAGGCTGTCTACCTATATTTTCCTCTTTCACCTAAATAGCAATTGCTTCTAACCATACGCATGCAGCTGCGCATGCTTGATTATGATCTACGCAAAATGATTGTCAGCCTACATTGACTAATCAAAATTGTATTTGACCTCGAACTTCTTGTTTTTGTATGCAGACGACTTTGGGGGAACACTTAAACCATGTTGCCGTTCTTGCGGTGCTCGGTTTTTCGCCGTTTTCCGCGGGTTTTCGCCACAAATGTAAGATACTCGTTTATTTTCGTTCATTAATTATATTTATTTCTTATCTATCCACCTTTCTTATGCAATGTCTTGCCTGTCAGTCCAATTTCTGGATAAATGTAGGGTACCTCAATTGGCGTTCTACATAGAACCTAAATATGTAGGTTCGAGTTCCTTGAGAATTTCATCGCCTTACTATTAGCGATTGCAGCAAGCAAGCTACCGTTGAAAAGCAGGATTTGTGGAAAACGGTTGTGGTGAACTCCGTTCCCGTTTAAGTTTTGAGATTCGACTTACAGTTACAGCTAGCCTTATGGTCACAGTATGGATTGTGTTAAGGGCTAGGGTTGAATATTTTGTTTGTGGCAGGAGTTAGGTGATCTTTAGATTGTACTTCGAAACTTCAGTGTACGATTCCTAGGAATGTTACAAGTGCCTCATATCCAGTACTTGTCTGCTTACTGTCACTCCTGCGCATTCGACAGTTCAAGGCCAATCCTCCTACAGCCTTCAAGGGCCTTTCGAGTAGCATTTATCCATTACAAACGCCCTTATCATGCATCCTAAAAAACAGCCCATCATTGCTTACTTAATATCGTTCGGTTCACGAAAACCACTAAACTAGTCGTGAACGTTAATCTGGCGTTTACACAGCGTCACATACTGACGACCAACTGAAATTTCCTTACGCACATGATGCACATTATTGAAGTAAATATGGCGTTTGATTAAGGTGCGTTTCAGTTTCCCACGATATGGGGAAGGGGTTACATCATCTTTTCCTATGGTAGTCCTTTGAATGCGTTTTCCTCTCCTGTTTTAGTAATTTATTCTTATTTTAAACTTAACCATCCTTGGCACTCGAGCACGCTACAGAGGTTAAATTTTATCGTGTGTACATCGATGGATCGAAGCTCCCACACACCAACTTAATCCTTTTAGGGTGGACGCTGTGTGTCGATTCAAGTCCCCTCAAAACTCCAACGATACCTCTCACGTCGACCCTCTCTGTTCCTGAAGTTCGCAGAGGGTAAACAGGAAGCAAAACCGGAACCAAGTAAACAGTCACCCAACCCATCTCCCAAGAAGCCCGGTTCTCGTATGTTTTCTTTTCTTGTCTATTGAAACTCATCGAAACTTTCAGCAAGAATCGAATTTCAATTTACCTTTGGAGGTGGTGGGGGAAATCAATCTGGCAAGGGAACTCAGGGAGGCTGGAATCTTGGCCCATGGGTAATCGTCGCAGCCATCGGTGTGGGTGCACTCACAGCGTATAATGCTTCGCGTTACCAAAAAATCTCTTGGAAAGAATTTTCCGAAAACTTCTTGCAAAAGTAGGTTTGAATTCAGCTTCTGTCATTGCTTCGTTGCATTTTGAAGCATAAGGTAGACTTAGACTAACTCCGCTAATCAAAAAGATGGCCTTTGATAGTCTTGTTGCCGTATGCGCATAAGCTGGAATATGCTGATTGCGTATTTTCGAACACGGCTGCTGTAGTCTTTTCTGATAAGGGTCTCAAACGAGTTTGTTTGTTCTTATTTCACTTCAGTGGTGTAAACTTGCACAAGTAAATTACCAATTGGTTTGGCAGCTGAAGCCTCTATCATGTCTATTGTAAGGCACTTCCTGTCATGACTTATACGTACAGTGTCATGTTGCAGCATTCCGCTGTTTAGTGTCTCATAGGCCTTACTTATTTATATCAGTTTTCTATGCTACATAGCGAGGTTGCCACTTTTCTATCATGTAGATTCTTTTGAAAGCATGTATTTTTAGCTCTCGAGAATTCATTTTTTGGCATTTTGTGTTCTGGTTCTCTTTCTCATAATTTTCAGTTTCAATTAAAACTATACACTCCATTGTGGGCCGAAAGTCAATATATACACAATTCGCCCTTTTATCGGACACAGGAGAGGTTGCAGTCTAGGTCCCTCAGACTAATCCTGCGCTTTATATGTGCATGGCATGTGGATTTAAATCCCCACGACTGCCAAAGACAGTAGTATTGTACCAACTTCCCGTGTTTTTTTTTCTTGAAGTTACATCGCCGTCTCATCAATGCTGTATATATTTTTACCGCACCTCAATGCTCTGTTTATTTATCTAATTCCAGGGGTTTAATCCACCACCTGGAGGTGGTAAATAAGGAGTGGGTTCGCGTCTACCTACAGCCAAGTGGAACAGCCACCTCGCTAGACTCCATGCAGAACTTCGATAGTTCCAGCAGCACTAGTAGTGGCCTGCCCATGAGCGGCGGTCCCTCCGAAGTAATCTACTGGTTTGAGATCGGCGCGGTGGACACCTTTGAACGCAGCTTGCGTGAACTGGAGACTAGTCTGGGTGTGGAGCCAATTAACCGTGTCTCCATCAACTACAAATCTAAAATGAGGACGTACGTCTCGCTTTGCCCTTCGACTTTTGCTTTTTTTACTTGGTGATCGGATTAACTCTAGCTAGACAATGTCTATCAACGTGCTTTTTTTGTTACTGAAATAAAAGGCTGCATCTGAGTTTGTCATGATTTGTGTCAACTTTTTCGCTTGCATTGTAGACCTAAAGCTTAATCGGGTTAGGAAAGACAGGTTGCTGCTACTGTTACGAAAGACCAGCAGATAGAAGAAGATATGTGACTAGTTCAATATGTTCTGCGGTAGCTGTGCAGTTTTGCGATGCCGTGCCTGATTGATCACTCGCTGAACGCCGGTGTAAGTCCTGGCTTTCACAGCTAGACTGAAACACTAATATTGCTTGATTTTTTAAGCCCCGTAGTTGCCAATTTTTCTAGCTCACTAGTACCGATTTGGAATCTATTCTTCTGTGCATTTGAATATACTTAACTCTCTTAGCAAGTCTTCTTGGGGTCACTAACTGTCCTGCTACCTCACTTTCATATGATTAAGTAGATCACTAAATGCATTTTTGTTCGCGCATAACTCGTCCAGCATGTGTCGCAACTAATTTTTATTACGTTCGTATTGCCCATTCAAACCATGTCATTTCACAAAAGTTCTGTTTTATTCTTCTAGGTCCGATTTCTTATACATGGGCTTCTACTTGGCCCTTATTGGCGCTGCCTTCTACTCCTTCCGCTCATCGGCCGGTGGTATGGTGCGCAAGGTAACGATACCTCATGTCTTGCCT